TTTTTTTTTTATTATTATTATTACATAATTTTCCTTTATGAGTCACTCCTGCTATGCTTCGCAGTCCCTGGCTCACAATCTACTCTTTAAATCGCAGATTAATGGCCTTCAAAACCAAATTCTTCATGAGCTCCAAGTCAGAAGAGAAATCGAAGCCTCTAACAAATCACAGTACCAAGATGAAGATCATATCTCGTTTCTGTGCAAGAAATGTGAGCAGTACGTCTGTAGATCTCGAGATATCCGTCGATATAAAATCACCAACCACGTGGTCGTAAATCCAAATGTTGAAAAGCTATTTAAGGTGATAAAGAGAGAAAAACCTAAAGGACGTCGTGGTCGTTTCAACGAGCATAAGGTGAGTTTCGACTCTCATTCCTTCACTACAAGAACTTATCTTATATAATATGGCTAAAGCTATAAGCTTCCTATTCCGTTACTAGACTCTTTAATGCTTCCAACCACTTATCCTTTAAATCTACAGGTTCATTGCAAAGAGTGTAACTTGGACTGGGGAATACCGTTGTTAACAAAAGGGACACGCTGGCTGTGTATGAAAATTGAAAGTTTTTGGGTCGTAGTTGACTCTGTCAAAACACCCATTAAAAAGTGGAAAGACGTTCCCTTTACGATTGAAGAAGTTTCGTTGGACAAGTTGTTTGAGCTGCGAAAACTGCTCGGTCAGAATGAATGAACGAATGAGTGGACGAACGAACATGATGAATGGAATATGAATGAATGGATTGAGCCTGATTGATTGATTGATTGATTGATTGATTGATTGATTGATTRATTGATTATTTGATATGACTCATGAATGAAGGGATGGATCAGACGGACGGACAGATGGACGGACGAACAAACGGATAGATTTTTTACTTTATTTTTATTTTTTTGATTGGATGGATTGATGAATGGATCACGGACGGACTGAAGAATACAAGGACGGATGGACGCACGGACGGACGAATGAATGGATGGAGGAATTCAATGAATTCAATTAAAGTTATCCATTTTTTTTTAATGTATAAACGATTTCAATTTACTAATGTTGGCCTTGTCACAGACTTGTCGTTTTTCTGCTTTGCCGCATCAATATCATATTGCTTTTAAATTTACGCAAAAGTACGCAAAAATACCCTTTTTTGAGTATAGGTATTTTAACCGAACACCGGAAGTGACCCAGGCATTTCTAGGGGAAATATCGGAAAGTGATGCAAGTGCTGCTAACCATATTTCAGGGGCTAATTTTTTACTAAAATTCGACTAGCTTATGAAAAAAAATTAAGAATATTATACAAAACTTTGATTTTTTTGTCTTTATTAACTCAAGGGCGCTAGGGCAAAAATTGGTGGTTTTTT